CCCCAAAACCCCAAAACCCCAAAACCCCACAACGGAGTAATTTACATGATCTAATGAATTTAGTTTTAAAATAATAAGATATAAGTATGACAGAATAATAAATAGAGAGCAGCAACTTTTTAGAAAGAAGCAAGTTGAAGAGGGAACTAGAAAAGAATCAAAAGTAAAAGGCAATGAATGATTAGATGGCTAGAAACGCTCAAATAAGAAGAAATGACTGGATTAATACAGTGTAAAATAACCCTGACTTTTCTCAAAGTAAAATTAGGAAATTTATTTTGATTTTTTTAGCTTATCAACATGGTTCAATATTAACGAAGCACCCAAGTTTGTATGAGTTTAGAGCTAAATCAGACAAAGCTAATATTTGCAATAAGAAATATGAAACAACTGTATTAAGAGCTAAGAGACTTGAAAGTGAGCATAAAGAAGCTATTCTTGAAAAACTTGAATATAGATAGGATGATCCTTTAAGAAAATATTTTTATCGTTCTCGATAAAATCTAAATGAAATTCAACCTCCAGTGATGCGTTACTAGCCACGTGACAAAATGGAAAGAATAAAGCAAACTATCGATACAAATCATAGGGTAAATTTAGAGTAGCTAAACAACAAAATGCTGCACTTTCCTGTGTTCAATGAAGATGAAAGGTCTAAGTGGCTAACCAAAAATGGAATCTCAATGGACGGCTTTAAAGTTGAGAAAACAGCTCTCTGGAAGGAAATTGACAACAATAATGAGGCTGGCTAAATGCCTTTTCAAGGAGGTCTTCAAGAGATTGCTGATAAGCTAACCATTAGACCTAGGATGATTCATAAAGAAATAAGTTAGAATCCTTTCTCCTCAGTAATCGCTAAAGACCCTTGGAGAAATAAATTAATTCAGTCTAATTCTCTCAGGTCCATGAAGACGATCAGAGCTTCATTAGACTGCTTGAAATAAAAGAACAATGTGACTTTTACACTTCCTGAATTAAAAATCCCTTCCTCAAATAAAGGGCAAACATAGTCAAATGATGTTTCTCTTTCTAAGTCATCAGATGGTGCTAAGAATTAGTTCTTCACCCAGAGTAACCAGAATTTCTTCATTGGAGGAGCTCCTAAGGTAGATGTTAGTAAGTTGAAGCCTGAGAACAACAATAAAAACGAACAAGAAACTGATAGATCTATTCGTACTGACTAGCTAGAAACAAATACAGTTATCTAGAAAGACACTCCAGAGAGAAAAAATATCCATACTCAATCTAGTAAAAAGAAACTAAAAGTACTTAAGGCTCATAGAAAGATAGTCGACATGGGTGAAGGCTACAATCATACCAATAAGAATAATCTCCACCAGACCTAGTAAATAAAGTAAATCTTCACTGAGTGGCAAGACAACCCTCATCTGAACATCTAAAACAACGACATTTCAGCCTTTAATGAGTCTTATAACAGGAATCACTCTACCAAGATTGAGAAGTTAACGGATTAGCATTTCAACAAGAAGATATATGACTAAAAGCTTTACTTTCAATCCGCATAGCAGAAAGTAGCAAGAGAAAAGACTCATATCTACGAGTAAGAGAAGACATTTGACTCAATCAAGAAAATGCAAAATACTTTTAATATAACTGATAACATGTTTTCACAGAGCAGTCCATCTGTTCGGGAGTACAACCTTAAATCCAAAAGAATGAGTGTGGAAGACTTGAAGTCTGAGATGTAGAAGTAGCATTTGCATGAGTATCTCTCCCAGTCTCTTATTAAAAAGACCAAACTCACTGACCTGGCTAATGAAAGTCTAAGCAACAACAATTAAAACCAAAATGAGACGACAAATATGACTTCAAATATCAGCAAGAGTAATGTAATGAGACCAAGTTAAAGCTATAAAATTCTGCCAGGAGTGAGTCCAATTACCAAAGATATGTAGAGTGAGGATAACTCGGTGCTAATCAAGCTAGATAAAACTAACTCTAATGATTATTCATAGATCAGGTCTCCAAATAACAGATATAATGTTATGGCTAAACTTCAAAAGCCAAAGCACCTTCAGTCAACTGCTTAATTAGGATTGAACAACCATAATAGTACTAATAGTTTAATTGAAGAAAAACCCCTTGACCTATATAAAAGAAAGAAGGCAGTAGCATAGATGCTAGATCATTTTTTCAAATGAGTCTAGAACAAATATCCTCAGAAAATTACCTTATAAGCAACTAATCAGAAACAACAAAGTTATTAATAATTTAAATTCATCTAAATTTATAGAAATCCTTAATTAGCTAAATTTAATTGGACGGGGTTTTGGGGTTTTGGGGTTTTGGGGTTTTGGGGTTTTGGGG